ACCAGCTGTGTGTTCAACACCAGCTGTGTGTTCAACACCAGCTGTGTGTTCAACACCAGCTGTGTGTTCAACACCAGCAGTGTGTTCAACACCAGGTTTTAAAACCAGAAATTTCTTCATGTAGACTTACTGGTAATATGATGTTATGTTTTTTTAAAGTAAAGTTAAAGTTAATAAATAAACTAAACAAAATTCCACGTTTTACTCAATTTTAATAAATGTAAATATTCAGGTTGTACTCTTTTAGAAATGAAAACTAAAACTCAGCAGTCTGACTGTAACCTTAATAAATGTTGCCATGCAGGAAGTTTTTTAATTACCCTGACAGATTTGGGTCAGCTTGTCTGTGATTTGATTGTAAACATTCAGTCAGAACTCTTCTTGTTTAGTTGAGGTGTTATTTTGCAATAAAAGATTTTTTAAAAATTGTTTAAAATATTTAGTGACGAGGTTAATGATCCAAAATCGTATCATTTTGTCGACAGTAAGAAAAGAAGACATTTCTTCTGTGTGATCACTGCCCAATAAAAAAAATACTAATTTAAAGCTAATATCTTTGAATTGTGTTATTAAAAAGCATTGCAGCTTGATGGGTTGTTAATGTTTTAGTGGAAATATTTTCCTCCTTCTGTCTGGAGATTATGTGGTAAAATCTCGGTGATTGTTTGAAACCATGACAGTTCAATCCATCTTTCCGTGTTTGAAGTTCTGCAGTGAAACCTGAGCTGTAGATCCAAACAAGGTTGGATTTTAAAACACACCTCTTATAAATACCATGGAGGTCTATGGGAGGAACGATAATGAAAACAGACAGCTGCACCTTAACAAACACTTTTTAAAAATGTTTTTCTCCGATTGGACCTGATCAGTTTTGATGATGACGATGAAGATGATGATGATGATGATGATGATGATGATGATGATGATGATGATGATGATTTGATTGTTGTATTTACGACAGACAGTCAACGATGGATCAGACTCAGCTCGGAGACGAAGTCCCTCCATTTGAGCCCAGTACCTGTGGGAGTCCTGAGGACCCCAGGTGGGACAATTTGAACCTGTCAGTGATTAACTCAACGCTTGAAACATCAAAACTAAAGTTCTGTTTTTGTTGTACTGAAGCCCAGAACCGGAGCACAAAACAGAACTTCCTTCTGGACACTCCTTGAAAATCACGAGTCCTCAGAGTCTACTTTCTAAGTTTAAAATTAAAACTTCAGGAAACTGGTAAGTTTTGGTTGTAGTTACTTGTGTTTGGAAACAGACTGATTTTATTTACAGCTCAAACGTTTTTTCTCCTGTGAATAAAAATAAACTCTTGAAAACAAAAATAACCACATTTTAGAGTAATGGTATATTTTAGATTAGAATGAGACAGCAGCTATAGATTGTAGATTGTAGTGCACACTTTGGTCATAAAATGTAATTTTGAAACATTAAACGTACGGCTGACCAGTATAATGAGACTTAGACAACCTTGGGACAAAAAACAACTTTTGTAGCAGAAGAAAAATAAAAATAAGAAGAAATTATTGGGTACTTATCAGGTACTTATGGGGAATGTACATGGTAATTATGATGTACTTATTTGGTATTTAAGGGATATTTTCCATAAAAGTGCCTAGATTAGAACCTGTGTATGCACCTGATAATTACTAAGATTTTTACACAGTACTTACAGGATATGTACCTGGTACCTAAGAGATATTTGATGGTAGGTACTTATGGGGTATGTACATGGTAATTATGGAGTACTTACAAAGTTTGCATCAGAACTTACAAGCTAGATCCCTAGTACTCAAGGTGTATGTACATAGTCATTATGGAGAATGTAATTAGTATTTAAGGAATACTTACCATGTAAAAAAACTTGTCTGAATGTGCCTGGTAATTGCTTAGTATTTATTTAGTACTTACAGGATACCTGATACTTAAGAGATATTTAATGGCAGTTCTATGGGGTATGTACATGGTAATAATGGAGTATTTACCATGTATGTATCCAATACTTACAACCTGGTTCTCATTGGGGATGTACATGGTAGTTAAGGTTACTTACTGGATATTTATCCAGTGTTTACAATGTACATAATTGGTACTCATGGGGCATGTATGCTATAATTATGGAGTACTTATTAGTTATATTCCTGGTACACACATGGCAGTTATCAGGTACATACAGAGTATGTATCCAGTACTAATAGGGTGTTTTGCATGTGTGATACTTTGGAGATATTAAACAGTTATGGACAGGCTACATTCCTGGTACTTATGAGGTTTTGTACTTGGTACCTGGTACATACCATGTCTAATGAGGAAACTACCTGGTATGTACCAGGACTATAGATGATCTTTATGGGCTAGGTTCCAGGTATGTACCCAATTCGTACTAGGTATGAAAATGCTGGTAAATATATGGGCTCAGAAAATTGTGTTGTTGTGTGTTCTTCTAACAGGATTGGTTAAATGTTGACTTTGTTTGATATTTTTTCCAGCTTGAGACATAATTCAGATGATCCCAGTCCTCAGCCCATCCTTCAGCCTCAAACAGAACTGGACTCCATATTTATGGTGAGGAAATACTCTCCTGTTTCATTACGTACTGTTAGGAATTAGATCTGATATGTTCAATCAGAGGAGGACTACCAGAAAACAAGGGATTCAAATTTAACCAACTGGTTTTGTTTAAAATGTGGCCGATCTAAATCCAACTCTAAAATAGATCTAACATTATTCAAACTGCATCCTTTTTTCATCAAGACTGAAAGTTTTGCTTGTGTTCAGTTGAAAGTCATTCCCATATGTCTCTGTTTCAGCTGCTTGAGGAAAACCTTTCAAACTTCATGAAAAAAGAACTCCACAGATTTAAGATGATGCTGGATCCAGACTGCCACGAGGCTTCAGAGACTCAAAGTGAGGACAAAGAAACATTGGACGGTGATGATGAAGAGCAGAGGAAGAGCAGAAGTGACTCATTTCTGAAGATCACGTTGCAGTTCCTGAGGATGATGAGGAGAGAAGATCTGGCAGACAGTTTATGGAACAGTAAGTGAATTTAAACAGCTGATGAACATTTAATAATGAAAGAACAGTTAACGTTTACAAACTCCTCCACTTAAATCAGATCTTTAAAAGTAATCAACAGTGATTAACATTATTCTTAAAGTAAAAATTCACAGCATACAAGTGCATCATCAACTATATTATTTATTTATTTATTTATTTATTTATTTATTTATTTATAGGAACTCATGCTGCAGAGAACACACCAAAGTTTAAGTCAAACTTGGCAAAGACCTTCCAGTGTGTGTTTGAGAGGAACGTTAATCCATCGGATCTGGACCAGATCTACACAGATCTATACATCACTGGAGGGGAAACCAGAGAGCTCAGCAATAAACATGAAGTACGACAAATTCCAACAGCTTCCAGGAAGCCGTACAAACCAGAAACAACCATCAGATGTGAAGACATCTTTAAACCCCAACTGGGAAGAGACAGACCAATCAGAACACTGATGACAAAGGGAATAGCTGGCATCGGGAAAACTGTCCTAACTCAGAAGTTCACTCTGGACTGGGCTGAAGACAGAACCAATCAGGACATCCACTTCCTGTTTCCCTTTACCTTCAGAGAGCTGAATGTGCTGAAAGAGACAAAGTTCAGCTTGGTGGAACTTGTTCATCACTTCTTCTCTGAAACCAAAGGAACATTCAGGTTTGATGAGTTCCAGGTTCTGTTCATCTTTGATGGTCTGGATGAGTGTCGACTTCCTCTGGACTTCCACAGGAACCAGGTCCTGACTGATGTCACAGAGTCCACCTCAGTGGATGTTCTGCTGACCAACCTAATCAGGGGGAACCTGCTTCCCTCTGCTCGCCTCTGGATAACCACAAGACCTTCAGCAGCCAATCAGATCCCTGCTGAGTGTGTTGACCTGGTGACAGAGGTCAGAGGGTTCACCGACCCACAGAAGGAGGAGTACTTCAGGAAGAGGTTCACGGATAAGAAGGTAGCCAGCCGGATTGTCTCCTACATCAAGACCTCCCAAAACCTGGGCACAATGTCACACATCCCCATCTTCTGCTGGATCAATGCAACGGTTCTGGAGGATCTGTTGAAAACCAAAAATGAACCAGAGCTACCCACAACCCTGACTGAGATGTACATCCACTTTCTGGTGGTTCAGACCAAAGCAAAGCAGGTCAAGTATTACGGAGGAGCAGAGACAGACTCACAGTGGAGTCCAGAGACCAGGAAGGTGATCGGGTCTTTAGGAAAACTGGCCTTTGATCAGCTGCAGAAAGGAAACCTGATCTTCTATGAATCAGACCTGGCAGAGTGTGGTATTGATGTCAGAGACGCCTCAGTTTATTCAGGAGTCTTCACTCAGATCTTTAGAGAGGAGAGAGGACTGTACCAGGACAAAGTGTTCTGCTTCGTCCATCTGAGTGTCCAGGAGTTTCTGGCTGCTCTTCATGTCCACCTGACCTTCGTCACCTCTGGAGTCAACCTGCTGGAAGAACAACAACCACCACCAAAGGTGTCCAAAGTCTTTAAAAATAAACATAAAATCAAAAATCTCCACTACAGTGCTGTGGACAAAGCTTTATTGAGCCCAAACTGTCATCTGGACTTGTTCCTTCGCTTCCTCCTGGGTCTTTCTATGCCAGCCAATCAGAGTCTTCTACGAGGCATGCTGACACAAACAGGAAATGGCTCTCAGACCAACAGGGAAACAGTTGAGTACATTAAGAATAAAATCACAGAGAACCTATCTGAGGAGAGAAGCATCAACCTGTTCCACTGTCTGAAGGAATTGAATGATGGTTCTCTGGTGGAGGAGGTCCAACAGTTCCTGAGGTCAGGTCTTTCCACAGATGACCTGTCTCCTGCTCACTGGGCAGCTCTGGTCTTCATCTTAATGTCATCAGAAGAAGATCTGGATGTGTTTGACCTGAAAAAGTACTCTGCCTCAGAGGAGGCTCTCCTGATGCTGCTGCCGGTGGTCAAATCCTCCAACAGATCTCTGTAGGTGGACGAATGACTGGTTTCTAATATTTTAAATTCTCACAGCACAAATTAAGCATTCCCTTTTTGTGTTCATTGTAAATTCTATTCCAGGTTGAGTGACTGCAACCTCACCAAGAGAAGCTCCAAAGCTTTGTCCTCAGTACTTTCCTCACAGTCTTACAGTTTGAGAGAACTGGACCTCAGTAACAACAACCTGACAGATATGGGTGTGACCCTGTTGTGTCCTGGACTACAGAGTTCACAATGTAAACTGGAAACTCTCAGGTCAGCAGCCAAGTCGTTCTCAGTCATCCATGGCTGTTTCCAAACTCAGGGTTTGGGTTCTTCGAAGGACTCGACCCGCCTAGATTTGGGTAGACCAGGTCCTTCAAAGACCTGGAGGGTGATGGAGGGTTCTGAGCAACTATGGAGCTTCAGTACTGAGGTTCTGGGTGCTTTTAGGAAGACAGGTGGCAGTGTAACGATGATGCATTTGCATGGGTGTAAAAAAAGTAAATAAAACTGGTCATGATGAGGTAATGCCATAAAACAGTCTAGTACTGATGAGAGAACTGTGGTGGTTTGGTGACTTGATGTTTCAGTGATCCTGATGACCAGAAAAATCCTGTTTGGTGACTAAAAGCATGACAGTGCCTTGATTGCATGTTTTAATAGGTCTTATAGAAAGTCATCCAGTATGAAAGGACCTTAATAAACTTGTTTTTAGATGAATATCACACTCAGATGAAGATAAAAATACTAATAAATTCATAAGACATCAAGTTTCCCTTTCCTGTTTCAGGTTGAATGGATGTGACCTCTCCCAGGAAAGCTGTGAAACTCTTTCTTTAATCCTTGGCTATCAGAGCTGCAGTCTGAGGAAGCTTTACCTGAACAACAACAACCTGCAGGATACCGGCGTGAAGCTGCTTTCTGTTGGACTGAATAGTCCTCACTGCAAACTGGACACTATCAGGTCAGAAAGAAGATTTAAATTGAATCGATTAAATATTTAAAGGGAAGACCTTTTCATGTTCGGCTTTTGTTTTACAGCATGCAGGCCTGCAACCTTTCAGTGCAAAGCTGTAAGACTCTGGGCTCAGTTCTAGGCTTCCAAACCTCCAGTCTCAGAAAACTGAACCTGACTAACAACAACCTGGGGGACCCAGGAGTAAAGCTGTTATCTTTAGGACTGGAGAGTCCACAATGTAAAATAGAGACTGTTGTGTGAGTATTAAGTTTTAATAGAAATTTCCGGGATTAATGTTCAATCGTCATGAAGATCATTCTCATTTAAATTTAATGTAATATCTTTTTTATTATGTCTGCTTTTTAAAGGCTGTGTGGGTGTAATCTCTCAGAAAGAAGCTGTGAAGCCCTGTCTTCAGCCCTGAGGTCTCAGAACTGCAGTCTGAGAGAACTGGACCTGAGTGACAACAACTTGATGGACTCTGGAGTAAAACGTCTGTCGACTGGACTGGAAAGTACATGTTGTAAACTGGAGACCCTCAGGTCAGGAGACATCTGGTGCTTAAACACAAACACCATCTCTATTTAATGCCTCTGACACCCTTGATGTTTATTATGCTCCAGGCTGTCAGGCTGTCTGATCACAGAAGAAGGTTGCGCTTCTCTGGCATCAGCTCTGGGTTCCAATCCAACCCACCTCAGAGAGCTGGACATGAGCTACAACCACCCTGGACTCTTGGGAGAGAAGATGCTGTCTTCTGAACTGAAAGATCCACACTGGAGACTGGAAACTCTCAGGTAGAAACAGACAACTTGAAGAGGCTTGTTATGGGTTTTTCAACCTCACTCATGAGCTCCTTTCGTAAAAGTCGAGTGACTTTTCAGACACCCCAGGCAACACAGACCCTAGGACTGTTGGGATCCTAAGGTCCAAAATTCAACATAAAGATTCCAACATTTCATGCAATCTAATATTTGAAATTCATATAATCAATAACTTCAAATAAAATGAAAACACCTGTAGTTTAATGAAGTACTTCTGTACCTACCCACTATGCTGTACTAAATAGCAGGTTTAGAAAAATGCTGAGTCTGTTTCTTTTCACAGGCTAGATGGTGGTGGAGAGCACAGGTTGATATCTGACATCAGTAAATGTAAGTTTGACTAAAAATATTTACATCAGTTATATCTGTACAAACAAACAATTTGCAATAAATTTCCCAATAGTCAAGTGAAATTGTTTTCCCGTCTCCCCATCAGATTTCTGTGAACTTAAAGTGGACACCAACTCAATGCACAAAAGGCTGAAGCTGTTCGACAACAACATGAAGATGACAGTGATGGAGGTGGAGCAGCAGTATTCGGATCACCCTGACCGATTTGAAATGTGCTGGCAGCTGATGTGTAGGAACAGTGTGAGTGGTCGCTGCTACTGGGAGGTGGAGTGGAGTGGAGGAGTTCTCATTTCACTGAGCTACAGAGGAATCAGTCGGAAAAGAAAGAGCCATGAGTCCAGGTTTGGAAGGAACGAACAGTCCTGGTGTTTGGAGTGTTCTGATGTATTCGGTTTCTCTGCCTGGCACATTAACAGAGAAACATCTATCTCCTCCACATCCATCTCCAACAGAGTAGCAGTGTACTTGGACTATCCTGCTGGGACTCTGTCCTTCTACGGAGTCTCCTCAGACACATTGATACACCTCCACAGCTTTAATACATCATTTACCGAACCCGTCTACCCAAGTTTTGGTTTCTGGTCTGGTTCCTCAGTGTCCCTGTGTTCTCTGTAGGCTGAGTTGGTTATGGATTATCATGTCTAAATATGACAACTTTAAAGTTAATATGAAGGTACAATCACTTGTATAAATACTGAAATCCATCTAGCCATCTACCCATCTATCAATCTACCATTTTTCAATCTACCATTTGCCAATCTACCATCTATTCATCTACTATTTACCAATCTACCATCTTTTTATCTACCCATCACTACCATATTTCAATCTACCATTTACCAATCTACCATCTATTCATCTACCATCTTACATCTACCATCTACCATTTACCAATCTACCATCTATTCATCTACCATCTTACATCTACCATCTATTTACTGTATGTACCATCTTACATCTACCATCTATCTATTCATCTACAGTCTATCCATCTACCATCAATTAATCTTCCATCTATTCATCTACAATCTACCATCTATTCATGTACCCACCTATTCATCTACCACAGGGGTCCCCAAACTTTTTCCTGTAAGGGCCACATAACTTTTCCCTTCTCTGGTGGGGGCCCGGAGTCAGTTTGTAACAAAAAAAGTGTGACTATTGCAGGAGTGCCTAAATGTAAAAATGTATTGTTTTCCAGAAAGCACAATCAAATAACCCTCTCTGGGTTCTTCACAGTATGTATTCTGCTGAGTTAATAGTTCACTTTTTAGCTTTGAGAGTTTGTTTGCTCGCATTTGGCCTTGCAAGCTATCATACTTGTCTTTGTGATGGGATTCATAGTGTCGCCGCAGATTGTATTCTTTGAATACCGCCACCGCCTCTTGACAGATGAACAAAAAAATAATAATTTGTCCACTGCAGCTTAAATGCCCTGCATTCTGAATCAAHTTTTCTCTTACCTAATCTTTTTGCCATTATTCCATTCTCTCTTTGAGAGGAGCAGGTTTAGGATTTTTTTCTGGGGGTCGCCAGATAGGGGCACAGACCGCAGAAGGGTGGAACAGAATGTCATGTTATACGCGTGTATGAATGAAATAGTTACTAACTAATAATAGTTAATAATGAAAATAGTTCATAACTAAGGAACATTTTTTGCAAAAGTCCAACTTTATAATCAAATATAAATACACATATATGAAAAAAAAACTAAATGCTCTCTGGTATTGTTCTGGGGGCCGGACCAAATAGGGAGGCAGGCTGGATCCAGCCCGCGGGCCATAGTTTGGGGACCACTGATCTACCATCTGCTCATCTATCCATCTACCATTTATTCATCTTCCATCTATTCATCTACCATCTATTCATCTACCAATCTACCATCTATTCATCTACCCATCTATCCATCTATCATTCTACCATATTTCAGTCTACCATTTACCAATCTACCATCTATTCATCTACCATCTACTCATCAACCCATATATCATTCTACCATATTTCAATCTACCATTTGCCAATCTACCATCTATTCATCTACCATTTACCAATCTACCATCTATTTATCTACCATCTTACATCTGCCCATCAATACATCTACCATCTATCCATGTACCATCTACCATCTATTCATCTACAATCTACCAATCATCAATTCATCTACCATCTACCAATCTACCATCTATTCATCTACCATCTACCAATCTACCATCTATTCATCTAACATCTACCATTTACGAATCTACCATCTATT